TTGAAACACTTGTGTGGGGGTTTGAGCAAAGGTACTCTCCAGCCACCTGGCCCACCCTGCGGCAGGGAGGACAAGGTATATTCTTCGTATATTAAGTAGTCCCAGGAAAGCGTATGCAGCCCCCTCCCGCCCGTTCTTCCCAAGCACAGCCATCCCTTTGCTCAGGCGGACAGAGCAGTGACAGCAATGGCGCCGGCATTGGCACAGCAATGGGGAGGACGTACGGCCGGGGACGTACAGCCGCCCAGGCTACGTCCCTCCTAGAACGAAGTCTACAAACCCTGACCACGGCCCCGTGCCACAGCACTTGGATTTCTGCCTTAAAGCCTGCAAACTTTTAGGCAGAGTTAAACAACAAGAAATGATGATGTTCCAACTCATTTATGATAAAAACGCCATGAGCAATATATAATCACAATCAAGCATTCCCGTGCATACGTGCCTGAAGAGTTCCAGCACAGCAGTAAAATTACCAAAGGAGGCTCAAGCCGCTCGGGAATGGGGACCACGACGATCCACCCCGGCCAGCACGCCTGTCTGCACGGCTCTGCACCCACAGCCCCCCGCCCCGGCGTTGCAGGGAGACACCCCCCCTCCGCCCAGCCACCACGCACGGCCGTCACGGGCTCCCTGGGGAGCTCAGTGCAACGGCACACTGCAAATATAGGGTAATATTGCCAGTATTAAGAGTGCTATAGCAAGGACAAGCCACGACATACCTCACCCCTCGTCCATCTCAAGAGTTACGGAGCACCTTCTGTCTGCCAAACAGACTACAACTGTGGTGTAGTAGCTTCAAGAAACTATTTGCAAGCACCGCTTTTCTAGAACTGCATATCATATAGCAGATTCACATGTCAAAATACCATTCAATTAGTTTTAAAATTACTCAGACTACAGAATAGGCATACATGTAACAAACTACACCGAGGAAAAGGCTGGAGTCTCAGCCATTTGACTCTGCTTCACCGTGGAATATATCACAATAATAAAAATTTAAATATATGTCATTTTTCTCAGAAGATGACTTACTCAATTTTTATGGGTAGTGCAAAAGAAGATTTACAAACCGTATCAATTAATTTCCATATTAAAGGAGCTAGGAGCAGGGAGCAGCTAATACATATCAAAAGGGTCTCTAAATTTATCTTTCCCTGTTAACAGGGAATCAAAGCATTACCGGGCACGTTCGTCTCTGAATCCGATAAAGCCTCACCCGGCTTCAGCCTGCCTGCGAGTGCCCACCTCTGCCTTCTCTGCTGGGCTTCTGGAAAGGTGAAGGAAATCCTGGCAGAGTGCTCAGGAAGGCCAGGGACATCGGAGGGACGACGCGGGGACCCTGCTGGGACCAGCCCCGTGAGCAGCCGTGCCACACGCGAGCACCTGGAAAGGCAGGAGGCGGCTGCTGGCGCTGGCAAACGGCGGCACCAGCCACGCTACGGCCCCGCGTGAGGAAAGCAAACACGGCGAAAAGACACCCGAGGACCGAGGATGCTTCTCACAGTCACTGCTCTGCGAGACCTGGAGGCACAATTAGAGCACCTCGCTCAAATTAAACTCTGCTAATATATTCTCCAGCTCTAAAACATGGCAGAAGAAAGACAATGTGCAGTTTCTTAACTGTTTCACAGAGGTATTTCATTATCTTGCCCTGCGTTTTCCCATCACTCCGACTCTCCCACTGTTGTTGCTCTGGGATATCCTTGGTGGCTTGTTCTCTGCTCCCATGCCGTGCTACGAGCCAGCCCTCGGGCGCTGCCCTGCGTGGCACAGCAGGCACAGTGTCCCCCGTACAGCCTCCCTCCTTTCTGACAAGGTCTTTAAACCAAAATATTAGCATGCCTTCTGGAAATACGTTTGTAGAGGATGAAAGGAACCTTGAGACATCCCCCTCTGCAGCAAATGTTCCTTTGCAAGTCATTGATTTTGCAGCAATTTAAATGCAGCTGGAGCAGCCCAGGTTTGGGACAGCTTTTGCAGAAACACACAGCTGGCGCTGGCCACGTTTTGCAGGCACACAGCTAGCGCTGGGCTCAGGGCACCACGGCCAACCAACTATTCTGTGATTCTATGGGCTGGGAGCCTTTGAGGACAACGTTGCTCAGCGGCACGATACGTCTCAGCATTTCCAGCTCTCGACTCTTCTGCTCTTGCCATGAAATAGTCCCTGAAGCAACAACTCCGAAAGGCCAATGTCCTGGTTTCGGCTGGGATGGAGTTGATTTTCTTCCTATTACCTGGTATAGTGCTGTGTTTTGGATGTAGTATGAGGATAGTGTTGATAACACACTAATGTTTTAGTTGTTGCTAAGTAATGTTTAGCTAGTCAAGGACTTTTCATCTTCCCGTGCCCTGCCAGGTGCGCGGGGGGCTGGGAGGGAGCGTGGCCGGGACGGCTGGCCCAGCTGGCCAATGGGCTATTCCATACCATATGACGTCATGCTCAGCATATAAGGCTGGACGAAGAAGAAGGAGGGGGGGACATTTGGCATGATGGCGTTTGTCTTCCCAAGTCACTGTTACGCGTGGTGGAGCCCTGCTGTCCTGGGGATGGCTGAACACCTGCCCGCCCATGGGAAGTAGTGGATGAATTCCTTGTTTTGCTTTGCTTGTGCGCTCGGCTTTAGCTTTACCTGTTAAACTGCCTTTATCTCAACCCACGAGTTTTCTCACTTTTACCCTTCCGATTCTCTCCCACATCCCACCCGGGGGGAGTGAGCGAGCGGCTGGGTGGGTTAAACCACGACAGCCAATTAGCTGCTGATGAAACAGCCACAAACAAATTGCTGTTCGGATTCTGTCACTCAGACACGGAGCAGCTGGACATGGAGCAACATGCTTGGGAAACAATGCTTAACAGACCTGGGACTTATTTTTCCTTTTAATAGGGTAATCACATCAACACCTCTTCCAACTCTGCGTGTTTCTCTTTTTAACTATTTCTTTAATCCTAGAAAAAAATCTTTTTATTATTATTAGAATTTTGATTCTTTTATAGTCTTCATTATCAAATTGGTTTAAGAAGTAGCCAAGATCTTTCATTCATGTATATGCATATGCACACATGCATGAGGAACAAGAAAACACATTTACCTAGCTGATGTCAACTTTCAATTAATCATTACAAGCATTAATACAAACACGTAAATGCCAATTGGCAGATTTAAACTGTTGCACAAGCGAAATTCAGCAGAGGAGTTTCCCACAGCTGACGCTGAAGAAATGAAATAGGAGAGAGAGCCTAAACCACACTCACACAGCTCCGGGAGCTCCGGTTTGATGCACAGGAAGGTACGACATATGGCGTAATTGCTTTTGTCACGGCTGCTCTTACCCTGCTCTTTAATAACTGAAGATTGGCTTGAAGTACGGAGCACGGACGTACTGGTGCGGACCAAGCCGGGAGGCTCTCGTGCACGGGCAGCGCTTCTCACTCCTGTTTGAACCTTACACATCTTTGGCGCAGAGACACTCTGCGCTGCCAACACCCAAGGCAACCTCTCTTTTCCTCCTCCTTTGAAAAGCTCCCTCGCAGCATCCGAACAGGAAAGCTGAAGCCCCAGGGAGGGACTTGGGTGCTGTAGCTTTTGCTAGAAATACAGCATCATCGGCACAGCACACCTAGGTGAACTTCTGCAGCACACAGTTCATTAGGCGTTCGCACGTGAAATATACTTCCACAAAATTCTGGACAGTCAGCACATATAAAATAAGATGGAAATAAAAAAATTAAAATAAAATAACCAAAGAAAGTCCTGAAAGTCACTATGCACCTCAGGAGTCATTTATTTTTATATCTATAGTTGAACATTGTGACTGTTCTCCCTAAGTATAATGTCAAGAGAAAAATAATTCAACCCCGTGTTTCCCCCCCCGAGCTGCCCTCGGGGCAGGGAGCGCTCCCCGGGCTCCGGCTCGCTGTGCTAAGGGGGGACTCCCGAAAAGCGAGGCGGGGGAGCTGCAACGGGAGGAGGGCTGCGGGCAGCCCGTGCCGCTGACCCGCTCTGCTTCCCAAGGAGGATATCAAGCAGACCACTGTTAGGACTTCTTAGATCATTAAAGATTTCTTCTCCTCTGCACACACTGGGAGAGGATAGCCAGCAAGACTCATGTTTACCCTCTATTGGCAGCTGGCGCACATCTTTGCTCAGGTTTACTCTTTTCTCATTAATCAACCTTTTTCCCCCCCTCTTTAACTCAAATGCATAAAATAAACTGCAGTCTGACAATTAAGCCACCACAACATATTTCCAACATAATCACACAGCTTTTTTTGCCCCTAAACTTAGCAGCATAATTACCAACGATGTGTTTCTGCACTTGCTGTAACACTGCTGAAGGATGCGCTGGAGACAGGAGGATAAAGATATCTGATTAAAGAGACTTCTCTGAGGCTCCACAGCAGATAGAGAAACATGAATAATTCACAGTATGAAAAGTAAAGGTGAAGTAGCAAAACTATCTTGGGTATATCACAGAGGACGTAGGTGTATGATCATAAACATCTTATTAAAAGCAGAATTAGAGAGGAAGGGGAAGAAGGAAGAGGGAAGACTGATTCACTCCAGAAGCAGCTATGGAGAAGAGAGAATAAAAATTTGTTTTGCAAAGGTATTTAGAGGCCAAACCTCCATTAATCTCAAAGGAAGTTTAAAATTTTGATTGTAAATGTTTCAGAGAATTCAATTTACTTCAAGTGCACCCATCTAAACACTCAGCTTTTATTATCCCATCACTATCTCTGTAGATCAATTCTGTCTCTCCTTACAACCTTATTGCTTTTGGTTTTTGAGATTAGTCTAAAAACCGTATCTGACTGACTCAAAATTCCTCCTTGGTTGCTTCTGGCTCGAGCCAAGTGTGGGATTTCAGTGCTGGCTATGTCAGGCAGGTCCATGCCCCGCTCCCACAGGAGCCCATCATCACTGCTTCAGGGAAACAGATTCGGCTTCTACTCCTGCCTGCTCACTGCATTTCACCCTTTAATTCGTGTCTATTTTCTGCTTTGACCAGTTTCTCTGTGCCCTGCCAAATGCTCTGTCTCCCCTCTTAGAACAAGTCTCTTTCAGCAAAGCTTTTCTCCTTCTGTAGCAATCTCTTCCCTCTCACCCCTTTATTTTTCTGGAGATTTGTAACGGGGACAGTAGAATAACAAGGACAAATTCTTTGTCTACTGTACCATACCATGGGCTATATGCCTGGTGCAGAGTTCAAGGACAAACTCATTTCGTTGTTGGACTTTTCAGGCACACAGCCAACACTGCCCAACAGATGCTATTTGCCTCTACCCTGAAAATAGTTTCTTTGTTAAAGAAGGAAAAGGTGAAAAACCCCTACTGGGTTTTTCTCAGACTCCGTGCGGGGTGGGCAGCGTGCCATCCCTACCTCCCAGACTGGCCCAGTGCATTCATTTCCCATAGAGCTGCACGGGCAGGAGCATTCCTACGAGCATGGCTGCCCACAGAGCAGCATCAGCTCCCACCAACACCGGGCACAGCCCGGGGTCCCCGTTCGTTCACCTCCTCCCTCCCTGAGCAGGAGGCAGCTGCTGCCGCACGCTCATCGGCAGGGTGTTCCTGCCTGGTTTTGCATTTCCCCCTCGTTTAAGCCTCTGCACCATTTCTCAGCCTCTCTCTCCAGCTGTTTCTGCACCTCTGCGAGCTGGCCCAGGCTAAGCCGGGCTTTGAGTCAAAGACCTTCACTGATTCTTGCCAACCTTCCTTCCTCTCCTCTTTACATGTGATTCTTTTTAAATATCAAGATCTCGGCCCTGATCTTCAAGGCACTTAATGATCTGAGCTCTGAATATCTATAAAATCATGCAGAGCTCTGTGAGGGTGGTAGTTACAGCTCCACCTTTCTGGTACCTACTGTAATGCAAAAAAGTCAGATTTGTACTTGAGACTGGACCTTTCCAGCTTCCAATACGAAAATAAGTGCTTACTAGAAGCCAGGACCATTGCAAAGTTTACTCCTTCTGCTCCAGAAATGCAGAAAATTTCATTAATTTTGTCTTCAGAGAAAGAGGGATTTGGTGTTGTCATGAGCAAAATCCAACTGTGCCAAGCCTCGCTGAACACCCAATTTTCCCTTTAGAAACGAGGTCAAAGAAAGGCTTAATCTATACTGCAAAACAAAAGTATGGCTGTAATGCCATATAAAATCTGTGTGCTGGCTCAATACTGCCACTGCAGGTACCGGCAGCAAAACACGGTGGCACAGGCCTCTGTATGTACGTTAAAGCGCTCTCCACACGAGATATAAGATTCATGGCTTAACATGTTGGTATTCTAGCTGCCTGCCCGAGTCCTCTCTCAGAAATGACTACCCTGTGTTTCAGTGCTGCTGGGCTGGAGACACTCAATGAATACATTTTTCAAGGTCCAGAGCTTTTAAATTAAACAAAACAAAACAAAAACAAACTCGGAGGACGGTATCTTCTTATAACACCTCTCCACCTACCTGTCCCCCTGGCTGGTGACCCAGCGCTGGCGGGCTTGAATTTGCCCCCCAGGGACTGGAGGGTCCCCGCACCAGGTCCTGCTGCGCCGCGGCCAGAGGCAGCTCAGCCCCGGCCCCCGCGGCCCTGGGTCCCGGTCACCCGCGGGACTTTGTCACGTTCCCAGCGTCTCCCAACAGCTTCCTAAAAGTGCACGTTTGCTTTTCTGTAGCACTTTGAGGCAGACGTGTGCAAACACCTCTATTACTGTCATTTGCTCTTAATTATGATTCCTACTTTGATTGTTTTTCCACTACAGTTTGTAGCAACCTATAGAAAAGAGTGTGATCTCCTCCAAAACATTAAATAAAAATCCATACTATACTTGAGTGAAATTACCATTTTTCTCTTAAAGGTGGTTGGCAGGAAATCAAAGATGACAAACAGAGGAAGATGAAGGTGTTTTGTATTTTCGAGAGAAAGCAGAAAACAAAAATATCATGTTCATCTTGTTTACGTTACTTGTACGCATGTAAAAATGTAATGACTGCTCTTCCAAAGTGATGGCCCCCCAACATATAGCTGCTTGATTTAGGCAACCTATCGACCAAATGTCACGCTGGCCTCGTCATCAGATGTCATCTAGTCATCAAAAGGCTTTATACAGTTAAATCCTGATTCAGCATGATGGATAAAATCAGGAGTGTTTGTGTTTTCAAGTCTGCCAATAAGAAGATTATGAAATATATTTGATATGAAGTATATTAGAAACCACGATTTCAGTTTTCTACAAGCAACAAGCTGCAGATCAGCATGACCCTTGCACAAATCTTCACCTTTCTGTCCCTGCATTCTTTGAACAGTTTTAATATTTCCTCCGTCTCACTTGCTTCTGACAAGAAAGCAAGTCAATATCATTCCTGGTGACTTTAAGGAGCAGTATGCAGGTCTTCAAGCACAATAACTGTATAGATGATAAAAGAAGTAGGTGTTTACCAAAAGCAAACCAAACCAGACAAGAAACTTGTCTGGTTTGAAAACTGAAGTATGTCAAAAGAGACGTGTGTGAACTTTCCTTCAGTTTTAAGCTGTGTGCGTCATAATATTTTCAGCAATTTCCAGACAGAGCTGGAATAATCAGCAACATAAATTCAATCAGAGGATCTTATTCAAGACAGGTACAGCAGCAGGCAGACCTGCTTCAAAGGGAGCCTCCAGCTCCACTTACGGATCTGCCTAGCACAGCTGACCACAAAGTATTTTAGGAAAGCTTTATCTTAGCCGTGGGTAGAGCCGGTGAGCCTGCGGCACCCGCGCAGGGAACGGCTCAGCTGGACAAGTGAGAGCTTCTATACCAAAACTCTGTACGTGAACAAACACAGTACAAGTACGTTCATTTCCAGTACGCAACCCTTCAACACCTCCACAATATTAATCCCTAGGTGTGAAGGATCAGACAAATCACGCCCGAACTGATACCTAGTAATTCCTGACAAACACGTTTTTTCCATGAAACGTGGCTGGGGAGGTGCGTTCGGGACCCCGTGGGGGTGGCTGGCACCCGCTCTCCACGGCTGTGGGCTCCCAGGTCAGGCAGAGGAACAACCTCTCCAGCCCTGTATCACAGCATCTCACCTCCATTAAAGAGCTCCCGACTTCACGACGACAGTAGCGTAAGAGGAATTTCACGTTATTAGGAAAGATGTTCACAATTTCCTGTCAAAATCTGATAGCTTTTTGATCGTGATTTGCAACATGTATATACGAATCTAAATAAAGCCACAAGACTTCCTCCGGCCTTTGGGAACAGCATTGCCCCTCCTCTCACGACAACACACACATTTACATGACACTGAATCACACAGTACTGCATAAAGCATCCTCGGAGGCTTCAGCCAGCGAGGCTTCATGGAGCAACTACCCAAAAGATAACCACATTATCACTGTAACGCTTGTGAATACCACTGGCATGGGAAATGAAAAGCCCAAGGACGTTTCAGAAACTTGCGTTTTGTATCATCAAATGCAAAGCTACTGCCAATTGCCAGACCGAGTAAACAGGATCTGAAACACACTGAATACGCTCGCAATTAGCTAAAGCAAATGTCATAAAATTTGAGCCGATTTTTTAAGGGTCCCCCATTTCTATGCAGTATGGAAAGCGTGGCTTGGTTGGAAGTAGGCAAATATACAATATATGCTTCAGTAATATAATCAGTATATAGAAACATAAACACACCTGTTAAAGTCTGATCCACCAAATTGGTTGCCATGATCGCCACCGCCGGTGCAGACACAGCAGTTACCCGGGCGACTTGCGTCGGCATCAAAGGACCCACATGAACGTCCATTCTGGAGGCAGAACCTGCATTCAAACCATAAGAAAACCTTTTTCTTTTTCCCCAGTAAACAAAAATGCCTTTAAAAAACTCACTTTTTTCCAGCCTTATTTCACAGAGTGCTCTTTTAACCTCCTGCTAAACATTTCTCTCTATACCTGTTTGCACGGTTAGAACAATAGGGTTTGTGTTTAGTTGAATTACTGGTCTAGTCTGGCCATTGATGTCCATTGATTCTCAGCAAACAAGCATCGGTGGAAATCTTAAATTAATAAAAATGTGGCCCTCAAAGTAAGAATTTGCAAGGATATATTAATGCTTTCAGAACAGATTACAGCAAGATCAGTTTTCTTATTTAAGCCTAAATAACACACCTCCAGTTTCTGCTGTTACTCATCACAAACTCTTTGTGTCCCACTCCATCCATGGGAAATTATTTTGCCAATAATTTAAAACAGCAGCTTTATCTAAGGGAATCACAGTCTGCTCAGACAATTCACAAAATGGAAAATCACTAAATTGCTCATATACGCTATTCATGATGAAGCAGTAATCCAGGTCTGCTGCTAAAACTATGCTAATTAAACCAGGCTACTTAATCCTTGAGAATTCACGGCTATCGCCGAGTTTGAGGTCAAACCTTGAACGTTAGTTTCCCATTAACTGTGCGCGAAACCTTTTTTCAGAAACTGAAGGACCCGTACCACATCATCTCATTGCAGACGTCAATTCAGGTGTCCCATCAGCAGTCTCCATCCCCTGTTTACAAGCCACCATTTCAAAACTGAGCTGCAATAGGGACATACCCCTAGTTTAAGGCAGACTCTGGGAATCACATCTTCTTTCCCAAGCACGAGCAAGCTGCAGAATTTACTGCCCTTTCATTTCACTAACTACTCTTGTGCTGTGAAACGCGTCTCATCCCAACTTCTCTGCATTTCGCAGTAATATGGATCATTTCTAGAGCCTTCACTCTGTTAGAAAAACTCACTCGCACGCTATAAACCTCTTCATTGATTTTTTGTTTCTCAGATTCCAGGTGCCAAAGCAGATTATTAAACGTAACTCTCACCAACGTGGGGACACTGGTTGCTTTTTTGAATGCAACTAAAACAATATTTTATCATTAAAAAGGTCAATTTTTCTTCATGAAAACTAGAGTCTTGGGTATCGCCTGGGCTAGCGATATCACGAGAGGTATTTCCTCGCTGCTTTGAGGTGTGGACCAGCACAGCCATCCCAGCTGGGGCAGAGGAACCTTCCCCGTCTGCAGCCAGAGCTGTACGATGCACCCCGCTACAGGCACTCGGAAAGCCACGACGAGTTCAAAAGGCGGGTATTTTAGCAACAATAATAATGATGGTGCTAATTATGCTAATGAAGCATGCATTTTGCTGGTAGGCAGACATATATTCTATTGAATATAATCTGAATTACTTGTGTGAGTAAAAATATGCATCGTGAAATTCATGGTGATTTTTCCTTTCCTCGTCTCCCACCCCAATGACCAGGGCACAGCAGTGGGAGCCAGAAACTCTCCAAGAAAAGATAAAGCTGAGTATTTTGTAGCAGATTGTTCAAATGAAGAAGAAAGTAGAAATTGGGATTGCAGAAAGCCCAAAGAAAACCCAGTTTACACCATTCAGAGACTGCCTGGCAGCATGTCGGTGAACCTGCCGTCGGGTGCTGACTTCACCCCAGGTCCCTCACGTCAGGTACAAGGTCTCTGGTGCAAACTGCAGAGAACGGCACCATTGAAAGGGTGTCCTGGTGCTCCAGGCAACGCTAAACATCTGCTTTCGCCCAACAGGAAGCAAGAAGTCCACAATTGCTACTGAAACAGGGAAAGCCCATGTCTTCTGCCCGGATCTGGTGGCATTCTCTATGGAAATACAATTCCAGCAACTGCGGGGCTGTTTTCTTTCCTAGCCAGCACGTTTTCAAAGCTGCTATTTTAATGCACTTTCTCATATCATCAATTGCGTGTTCCCAAAGCAGACTGGAATTCAGGCTATCACCGGACTTTGTGGGATTCACCCTCACAACAGGTGAAGAAGAATTTAAAACATAGTACATAATTTTAATCAAATTCCCATTTTTTAAATAATCTTTTACAACAGAAATAGATATAAAATACAAATCTTACGAAACAAATACCATTTTATAAAATTAGAAAGTCATATTCCTATAAAGGGTTAACACGGCTAAAGAACCACTCAGGGAAAAGTAAAGCTTTGCCAAAAAATAATCTTAGGGAAAAGCAGGAGGTTCATGAAGCTTTAGGAGCTGGGGCCAGAACACCAAATTCATTGAATGTTCAGTAATGCATTTGCATGATACCAACTTGCTATGAGCCAGGGTATCTTACAGACATTACTTGGTAAAGGGTGATTTACTAATTTTAAATGCAAATGAAACACCTCAGAAAACCATGACCCCCATATCCAGCAAGGAAAAAAGAAATGAGTTTCCAAATGTGCTGAACAACCGGGAGGACAATTGCAATTTTTCCATTTGAACAAGTGGAAGAGGATGATTAGTCCCAATCAGCTGGGGGAGATCCCCCCATTAACCCCCTCTTCACCTCCTCCCCTCAGAGGACCCCCAAACCCTCACGACTCAGAGCAATGTACAAACACAGCATCACCTCTCCTCAGGAGCCGGCAGCGTTATGCAGAGCAACCCCTGAACTTTGGGCTTCGCGGACGCAGGATCAGGCCTCGAGACAACTGAAAAGTCACCTTAGATGAGCATTTTGCAGACAAACACCATTTGCACCACATACCCCGGAACATTTTCCTGTGCACATATACCCATAAGCACAGCAAGAACCACTGGTCCCGCCACTACTGCACATCAGTAAATCACATCCCTGCGTTTTTATTTTGGGGCCCTCCTCATAAGAGGCTTGAAAGCACATTTAATATTTTTATGGGCTTCCTCCCACACTTCAGCCTTCACCTGCACCTGCAGCACAGCCCTCCTAGGACAAGGATTAATTAGCAAGCCACCGTCATGCCAGCCAGCTAGTGGAAGGGGAAGAAAAGAGGGAATGAGAGGACAGTGCCAACACCATTTTAACCTCCCAAGCCCAGCGGAGGTTCGTACAGGATAGACAATGGAGAAGACTACGTGTCTCAAGGCACATGTAAAAATACATACACTAAGTACGGATTTTCTTAAGCAATAACTCAGGGGTACACGTTCACGCGTGGTGCCCCGTCTGAACTGGTGAGAGCCCTCCATGGACTTGCAGCGGTCTAGAACAAAGCAAAACGGGCTCCAAGAGATGCTGCTAGATCGTTAACATCAACGGAGCGGGGGCAGAGGGGAGGCAGCAACAAGACCTCTGTGATCCACTAACTGTCCCGACAAAGCAGCTCCGTGCTGTTCTCCTGGTGGTCTCCTCCCCAGGACAGCAGCACAGGCTACCTGGGGGCATGGGGAAGATTAACTGCAAGCAGCTGCAGGAAAAACACCAGAAAAGGAAGCATTTTATTATTGCTCTCTCTTTTTTTTTTTTTTTTTTTTTTGCTGTTAAGTCAGGATAAGGGAAATTCCTGCAAGACACGATCAGTAGCATGATAAAGAAATTACCCTGTGAGGTACTGTGATAAATTTAATCCACATTTGCTTTGAAGAAAGAATGATAAATAAAGCATTTACAGAAGAGGAACAGGTCAGTGTGATGTTTGTTGTGCTACCTACAGCACAATAATGTAACTGGAGGCACTTGTAACTTGGCCATCTCTAACGAGACAGTGAACCATTTTCCAGCTCAAGACGGTGTTTGGACCTGAGGCAACGACAGTTTCTTTTTTCTGCTTCTGTCAAAGCCTCTGGCAAAACTATTACCTTCGACGAACTCTCTGGATATAAAGAAACGCTGAGGAACCATCAATTCCAACACTGAAGTCTAAGGTGCCTCTAATTATATGGAGCAATCCACGCAACAGCCTCTCCAGTTTTACGGAGCTGGCCAGCAGGACACACGCATGAATGGACTGAAATTCTGGTTTCCATACCCTTGCGGACCATTTCTTAAGCTAGGATTTCCATCTGTAACTTAGATGTACATTACTACACAATAAATTCCATGAGTAATACTTTCTAGAACAAGAGTTGTTTGGTTGTCTTTGGCTTTTCAAATTAATTTTAATGACAACAAAAAGGACACTTTCATCCTATTGCTTCCAGACTCATCAGAGACAGATTAAAATGGTATTTCATCATCTGGTCTCTTCTGGTTCTGGTGAGGTATGTGCGCACGAATGCCTTGCTGTCTACAACAATATACTCGGGAAAGGCTGTGCAGCTATTCTGAATTTATCCAAAATGACCATCTTTAAAGATAACAACAGATCAAAAAATACTGGAGGTGAGCATGGCCGGGAATCTCTGGCTTGTCCTTTTCCTCCTTTAAATTTGCAAAGGGGGAAAGTTTCACGCCTACAGATGTGAACCTGTGCCACCGAACGGGCTCGGCCCAGGTCCCCTCCCGCTGCTGAAGACCCCCCCCGGGGGTTCAGGCTTGTGTCAGGCAGCCCCACACTTTCTGGGCAAGCTCTTTGAGAGACGCTGAGCTGATCCAAAACCTGCCCCCGGGCACGGCCGGGCACCACGGCTCACACCGCCGCCATTTACCGGGGGCTGCGATACCGGGCAGGGGAGAAAATCACACCCGGCTCCAAAACCGCCACCGCTCCCACCCCACCGCTGCTCCCCACGCGTGTATGAACCATACGTGGGCTACACGTGCAGACACTTGAAGGTTTACCCCCAGATTCTGAGGTTTAAAGGGACACCAGGTAGACGTAAGCATCCACTAATGTATGCACGTGAATTTCGGTACACAAGCAATTCTCTACACCCAAAATCGGAATAATTTTCATAACGTGTTTAATTATCTCCCCACGGTTAGACATACACCACTTGAGATGAGCTCTGCTCATTTTGTTACCACAGTGTATGTTGCATGTTGAACCGTGACTTTCCATTTTATAATTTCAACTTCTTCTTTATGTTGATTTATTATCACATCCAGAAACAATAAAATGATCGGTGCATCTTTTGATGTGAGGGAAGCAATTAGCTCACAGCTTCCATCCACATTGGAGTCAAGCATATACACATATATACACATATATATATTATTTCATACATGCAGAGAGAGTTCAACTGCTTAGTTTAATTATATCTGATGCTCACCAAATAAGCTTGAATGATTTAAGGCAATCATAACCTTTAAGGAATAAATATTTATGCTTTCTAGTTCTTCGTGCTCATAAAAAGCTTTGCAATAGATGGATTTGGAATACAAATAAACTCTGTGGACTGAATTTAATGTCATAATGCAATATAAGCTTTCGGTATGAACCGCACATAACCTGGGCTGGACTAATACCTAAACGTAAACCGCAGAGAACCTAACACCCACCCCCACACACTGCGCATTTCATGATGAAGTTTAGGCAAATCTTACTACAAAACAATACTGAGGAGGGGGAGGATAAAAGTGATCTTTTCCATGAAGTTTCTGATTATTGTTAGAGCCAAGGAGCCCTGACTAGCAAGTCGTGCGTTTTGAGAACATCTGTCCATTTTTAAGATTATCTCAGTGCAGATGCATTTTACTGTCGCTTAGAAACACAAGCAACCTTCGTCTCAATTTAACTGCAACGAGGACATTACAAGGACAAAGGAGGACAACAGCAGACAAGTGGAAGGTTCAGAAATCTGAAGATCCTCTGCAAGGGATACACCGCCCTGATTTGCACCCCTGAGGAGCAGATGCTGATTTGCATCCCTGATGATGGAACCCGGAGCGGAGAGCTGGGGTGCCTGAGGCTCCGCTGCTGAGGCTGGGGCTCCCCTACCCCTGTGCATGGGGGTCTGGGGGCTCCACGCACCCGCCTCCAGCTTGCTGGTCCCCACAGCCGTGCTGCAAGCCCCACCTCAGGAACGGCCGCACGTCACCGGGAGCAGAGCAGAAGGACCGCGCCGGGCACAGCTCCTGCGCTGGAGTCGCTCCCCCCCCTCAGCAAACCCTCCTGCAGCAAAACCCTTCCCGACGCGAGTCGGGGGCACAGCCGGCCAGCAGCCCGGAGCCAGGGCTCCCGGGCTCAGCTCCCCCCGGCCCCAGCTTCAACCCCCGGAATGTTTTCTCTCCTCGCTGCTCCCGGGCAAGGGCAGTTCGGGGAGGCCAAGTCCCACAGCCGCTCCAGCCGAACTGGGAATGGTTACAGCCGCTCTGGCTGAACTGGGAATGGTTATAATGGACAACCCCGTCACCCGGCATGTCTGAATTGGCATTTTTACGCTGTTGCTTAAGCACCTGAAGAAGAGAATGGGAAATTCCCCATCACATAACTGACCCACTGTGCCTCACCTCCAGCAGAAACCACCGTCCCCAGGCATGCACCAGGAGTCAAATTAAATTAGATGGTAGATTTTTCCCAGAACAGACAACTAACTTTTCCACCTTTGTTATTTCTAGCAAAGAGTACTTAAAGGGTATTTCTTTTTTTACCCCGTACCACACAGACAAATAGATCACTGTTGCTAGCTCCCTCCTCTACTTGCTCGTGGCCAAAACAGGCCTCAGGAGAGGGAGCAGACACATTACTGATGCTCGCGACCCAGTTGAAAGGGATAGGACAGATTTTCAGGGCAAAACTGTTCTTTATAAATGTTTACTCTGTGCCTCAGCAGACCCATCGGCTCTCATCCCTCCGTTACACAGCGCAGGGATGTTAACGACCCGCGTTAACAGGAATCATGCTGCCCATGGCAAAATAACGTGACTGGTCCTGGACCGCCCCGCAGCTGGCTACAGCCGTGGAGGTTTCCTGCTCCTCCTGTTCAGTTGTAATTCTTACCTTTTCCAATTAAACCGTGGCACTTCCAACATTATCTTAAAGCTTAGTTAGCAGTTCGGCAAGGGTTTAAGCCTAATTTCCCTCACTGTGATTCAAGAAGCCTTTAACAGAACTGCACCCAAAAGAACAGGGGCCACATAATTTATTTTAATGTATTCATATTGAAAATATCCGTAGCATGGGCCTAATCTTACCCCCGGTGAAGTCAGCACAAGTCTCTCTGTTGAGCTTTATGGGCACTGAATCACGCTCCCGAAACCAAAGCTTTTTTTCCTGCAACACATTTGCCTCTTGCAAAGCCACTCTTTATGCCATGGGACGAAAGATCTTAATGCATTATTGAACAGCATAGTTTGTCATTCATATTTATTTTAGCTAAATATATCTCAGAACTTGTTTTTATTAATGGCTTTGTAAGACTGCCATAAGAGCACAACGTGCAGCGGCACCGGGCACACGCACGCAGAGCCGACACAGCGAGGCGCTCAGCCTACGTGGGAACCCATCGCGATAACGTTTGTAAGAATTTCTAAAATTCAACTACACGATCGAAATACTTGTTTGGTGAGAAACCCACAATGGAACAGGAAATTGTGTTTCCCACAGTGAAGAGGTGGAGGGATGGGGCGACGAAGGGTGGGAGGGCCGTCGCCACGCTGAGGGCAGGGCACTGTGGGGTGGCACTGCCCACCCAGTACCGTGTGCCCGGGATGTTTGCTGGTCTGTGAAACGACCAGCTCCCCTGACGCTGGGCTTTACAGACCGAGCTGCAGGGCAGGTGATGCTCTGCCGGCTGCGATGCCATGCACCGAAGACGGTTACTCCTGCGCTCGCCTACGTGGAGGCTGTGTGGCCACAGCAAAGCTGCACCTCGGCTGCAGAGCTCCCCCTGACCCGCCGACACGTATGGCCACGGCAAGGCTTCATCTTCAGAACAAATGAGCATGGAAATACTGGTGCAAGGGTTGGACCGGCGCACCGCACCTGGTGCGGAACAGGATGCTCCAGTGCCCAGCGATGGCCCAGCCTGCGCCGCCATCCCGTTCAGCAGTAAGAAAAAAGGCTGAGGTTCTCATTTCAAAAACTGAATGTTTTCCATATACCTGAAAACACCCCTGTTCCATTCATCCTTTTCATCTTTTCTCACCTTTTATGATGTACCTCAGATTTGCCCGTAGTTACATATTTGTTTCAAAAATATGAAAAGCACATTTAACTGAAGCATTCTTTCTATACCATTGGGATTAGATGGTTAAAGAGGAATATAAACGGGAGGCATTTTTGAGAATATTAATCCTGTTTCGCCTGAAATAATCCAGCCAGGAATAGTTTTTAAAAAACTCACGAACTCAAACTTTGCCTTTCCAGCTACTGGTTTGCGCACCTTATCAGTCACAAGAAATAATGTATACAAGTGAACCACCACCCTTCTTCCTAAGCACGATCCCTCCCACACCCTTGGTCAGAACATCCACGGGCTCATCCCCAGCGACGGGTACCCAGGCCAAGCAAGCCAGGCCACCACCACCACACACTCACGCGTGCCAAGGCAGGGAGATACTTTCATTAACGCTACATACAAAAATGGCTGGGGTCATAATTGATCAAGATACCTACTGAGCACTAGGAATTACAAGTCATCGAAGTGATTTCAATACCAAGTAACTTCCATCCCAGCAGAGAAACTCCAGCAGGTTCCCACAGACCAGGACCCACCGGCCGTGGGTGCTGTTCAGGCACACCAAATCCCCCCACAACCTCTATCGGGCCCCTTCCCTTAGCTCTAGAAGACTGTTTCCCAGTGAAAAACTACAAAAAAGGAATTATTCTTTCTGCTATTTTTCGCTAATAACCATCTGCCTGTATTTGCTTGTCAAATTCTGACCTACCATTAAGAGAAAAGAAAGAAAATAAAGGATATTTATTTTGACGAGGATGACATGACAGCAAACATGTCCTCAGTAAATCACACCGAATAAGAGAAATACAAACTAATTATTCAATGCAGGAAGGGGTTGCTTGGGAGAAGGAGGAGCTGTGTAAATCTGGTCCCGCGGCCCCCTCCCAGGCAGAACTGAGGGGCTCCGGAGGGAAGTCGCTGCTGCAGGGATCCATTTCCACCGATCCCATCTACTCCCAGCACAGGTGATAACTCCAGAGAGAAAGCACCACCCCACAATGGCACCTTCTGGACAACGGGGAGAGAAAACGCCTCTCCAGCACGTACCCCAACGCCGTAGGAAGAAAGATGGGGAGAAGGAGGTGGGACACGGATGACAAGCGATGCCCCCCCCTCAGGAGGGTGCTGCTGCTGGCACCCACTCCCCGCTCGCAGGAGCCGGGCTCCGGCGGCTGTCCTGGGACCTGCGCCGGGAGCAGAGAGCGGGCAACGCATCTGAGCCGTTCTGTCGGTTCTCACCAGGTTTGCAGCCCTGGCCTCTGCGGGGCAGCTGGGAGCCCCCCTGCCCGGGGCTGGAGACGCTGGGGCCCGGAGGTACCCCACGCCTGCGTCATCGGCACAGCAAAGGATGGCACGAACCTGCTGGAGCTGCTCTTCAAAGGACTTCGTAACCATGACTGTCGAACGGAGGACTTGCAAGAGCCATTTTGGACTTGAAATAGAAATTTCTGCGAGACCTTCAGCTACAAACCCGAATGGACTCAGGTGAGGGGTGTGCCACAGGCTGGGACTCAGCACCGGCCCCGGTGTCACTGATGCACCAGCCCGCCCGGCACCGACACATCCCTGCAAGGCGGGCAGGGAGGGACGGCGATGCTGCCGCAGCTTTGGGAATCTCCCCGCCGTCGGGACTGCGGAATCTCCCAGCCGTCGGTACTGCTCCCCCGGCCCCGCTACCATCCCAGCAGCTGAACTTCGGAAATGGGGAAACTCCCGGGCACAGTATTTGCTAGAGAGCAGCACCGGGCAGGAGCAGAAGGCGAGCGAGCAGTCCTGCCCCGGGAGATCTTGCAGCAGGAAACCACAGCAAAGCAGGGATGTGCAACACCCCTTGGTCCTACCACAAACTGGCTTTTAAACACGAAAGCTTCATTGCCTGGGTGCATTTCAAATTAATTCTATGATATCTTAATAAGATCAAGACGCATCATTAATGTATTTGTTATTTAAAAACCATCTTTAAATCGGGTAAGTAATTTTTCTACTGGAGACTACTGTCCAAATGGCATCCATTATAAAGTTCACCGACTTAAAGATAAACTAAGAAAAACCGCTGTGCCTTGGCTGCTGAGAGATGGAGGTTACGCACGGGTGTTACTTGTTACTGAAAAGCTCCCATCAGAGCCCACTGGAGTCAACAGAAAGACACCAAGAACCTTGGAAGGAGGACAGAAATATTTGACACTTACACTTTAAATAGTTCAGAGAGAAGACAACAAACAGAAAGTATATTTTAGCACCCTTGTATATAGCTAACCAGTGCATAGACCTGCCGAAGGGCAGCACCTCTCAGTTACGTTCCCGCAGGCGCTGCCTGCGCTGCCAGCCCAGGCGCACACACGACGTTGCAGGGCAGGGGCCGTGCACGGCAGCAGCACCAGGAACCCTCCTCCCGAGCTCGTGACAGGCCTGCCCAGACGTTGGAGTTATCCCGTTTAGTCTGCAGGGCTCGGGAGGGCAGCGCTTTCCACTCCCGTGAAAACTCTGGGGTCTCCGCTCCTGTTGTTTCCCAGCTTAATCTTCTGACTGAGGCAAAGGCCCGGAAGATTTACATCGCTTAACCGGCTGAAGTGCAGCGCTGCTGGGCTGACCGCAGCGCTGAGGCTGAGATCCGCACAAATACCAGCCTCCGCGGTGATGGCAGCCTCCTGCCAGTGCAGCTGCTCTCAGCCGTGGGAAGATGGGAATCTCGCTTCCTATTTTCATCTATCCTAGTACCTTGTTTTGTTCCTGGAACACCTGTGTTTTAATTCCTCTGCTTTGTTAGAAGTTTTATTCTTGCTTATTTGTATGTATATTCATTACACCCTGCTGTGTACAGACAGGAGCGCCTTTGGTTGCTAAAGACAGAGAAAATTCTCAGTGGTGTAAAGCCCAAGAATGTAATTTTCAAAAATGTGCCCATGACCAAAGAGTAGAAAACCTATTACGGTATAATTTTGTTGACTTTCGAGTCGCTGATGCAACACCGAAAATCCCACACTCAATAAGAAGCCCAGCAGGTACCCCAAGATATGCTTATTTCTAAGTCAAATGTGAGCCGCAATGATTCTTTTTTACATCCAAATTGAAATGTAATGAGAATGTATTAACAAAGAGTATTAAATATTCAGTGGTCTGGCTCTGCTCGGGAAAGGCTTTACCTTACACTTCCAGAGGGACCCGCAAAGCAATGCTGACGTAAGGCAGGCTTTGCGCTTTGCCCTTTTGATACCATTTAGAGGAATTACACTTCTGCATGGAAAAAATCAGACAAACCCCAACTAACCAAACCCAGAAAAGCCTAAAGCAGGACACAACCTATAAATATGAAATAAAATGCTAATATTGAATCTAAACACTCAAAGGAGCTTTCCTTAAAGCAGCAGATACAGCTGCTGTTTCCTTTCGCAGTGAGTACCTACAGAAAGCAACAGTTTTGGGAGCAGAGCACACTACTCACAAACTTGCCATCAGTTCCTTATTTCTTCCTGATGATAATCCTGAATGCGTACAAACTCATGGAGCGGATGATAATAGTGCTGTAAAACCTGTTTCAGAGACGAGGAGAAATTCTGGCACTGAGCACATCAAACCCTTCCTTGTCTTCCAAGGGTCAGAATTTTCCTCAAATTTTTCCTGGGTTCTGTGGATTTTTCAGACTAAAATCTGTGCTCAGCAAAGAATGGAGCACCTATTAATAATCTAAAGGGATATAACATCAGATTAAGAGAAAACATAACAAACCAAAGAAACAACCCTTGCATATACCTGAAAAATAGCCACAAATGTACCAGGTGTGCTGCAAATGGGTAACTCCTGTTGACTGCATGGAGACCCCTGGTTTGAAAGGTGGTCTTAATTCACAAACATGAAAAAAAATGCTGCAGTACTGTATCCCTAAGAACGTTAAGTGTAAGATGGACACGCTGCATCAGAGCAAAGGTCCTTCCCGACCAGCACCCTGCTCCCAGCCACAGCTAATTGCAAATGCTGTGAGAAGAGTGTAGGAATGGTGCAAGGATGTAGTGACATAGAGGGAAAAGGTGTAAGAAAAAAAGCATGGAGATAGCATAATATTTCAATAGGATACTCTTCCAACCTTTCAAATACCCCTGGCTCAAAGAATTGAATAAACCTTAATGGGCTTTTTTTGTCCACAAATGTCTCCAGTAACTCTTTTGCATTCATCAAGATAAAACCACACAGAGGCTTTGGCATTGACAAAACTCTTTAGGAAGGAGATCCAAATATTCTATGTCTTGTTTGTTTAACATCTGATAACTCTGTGTCTTTGTGAGAGGCTGATACTTGCTTACGCTCCCCACATCTCCCATGACCTTACAG